TCCTAGCACTGACAGTGATGATGTGGCTGGCAGATGGCAGCTGCTCTCCCTTTGAGCTGCCTTCACTCAACACATTCAGGGCATCATAAGCTAACACTATCAGTTCCTTGAGAATTACACTGTCTGGATCAATTTTGTTTCAAAAAACTGTTCACCTGTGTATGTGACCCGATAAACTACTTTGCACGCAAAGAGCTGGGCCTGGTGGCGTCCACCTATGATCCAAACCCTTGGAGAGGTAGAGCCAGGAGAATCAGGAATTCTAGGCCAGCCTGGGCTCCATGAGGTCCTGTCTCAACAAACGGCTTTCATTCTGGTCTCTCTAGACTTTTCAACCTGCTATAGCCTGCCTCTGGAGCACCTCTTCCCACCCTATCTCAATGCCCTGGGGTCTCTGCCACTCAGTGTGGACCCTGGTGCCCTTAGCTATTTCCTCCTAGCCCATCTCCATCCTTTGTGTCGCCTGCAGACCTTCAGAAGTTCTCTCTACCAGTATTCCAGAGACACCCCACTTGCCTAGGATCCCGTGGGTAAGCAGCAGGCAAAGAACAGAATACCTACCAACAGAGACAAGACCAGATGTCTGCACCAAGAAATACCTCACACAGCACATCTCCACATGCCCAGAGCCTAGTATAAACCACCAACATGAACAGTCAAGTCAATATGCTTCCTTTAGAAGCCAGTAATCCTACAGCAGGCTCTGAGAAGCACAAGGCAAGAACTTCAAAATAGCTATGATGAATATGTTAAAGAAAATATGAATAAAGTCTTCATGAAGATCATGAAAACAAATAATTGAATCAAATAATGATACAAAAGTAGAAGTACAAGATACAAAAATAGAAATGGAATCACTAAAGAAAGCCCAAACTGAAATAAAACTAGAAATGAAAAGCTTAGGATATCAAACAAAAACCTCAGGTTAGCCTCACCAACAAGACTCACAAGAGAAAAATCTCAGATGTTGAAGATAAAGGTAGAAGAAATGGATAGCTCAAAGAAAACCGTTAAAAAAAAAAAAAAATCCAGGCATAAAACAAGAAAATCAGGGACACTATGAAAAGACTAAACTTATGAATAATAGGGATAGAGGAAGAAGAAAAAGACCCCAGGTCAAAGGCACAGAAAATACTTTCTCTGTAGCTTTGGAGCCTGTTCTGGAACTCGATCTGGAGACCAGGCTGGCCCTAAACTCACAGAAATCCACCTGCATCTGTCTCTCAAGTGCTGGGATTAAAGGTATGCACCACCAATGCCTGGCTAATTCTTGATTTTTCAGTGGAGTGTCTGAAAGCCAGTAGGGCCTGGATGTGTGTTCTGCAAGCTTTGAGACTACTATACCCAGCACAACTGTCAGTCATAATTGATAGAGGGGTGAAATTAAAAAATTTCATGATAAAATCTAATTCAAGTGATTTGTATCTACCAATGCAGCTTTATAGAAGGCACTAGAAGGAAAACTTTAGTCCGAAGAGGTTAACTACACCCAAGAAGACAAAGGGAACATAAAATCCCAGAACAGTAAATGAAAGGGGGTGGGGATGGGAACCAAAACCATAATAATAGAATCAGTATGCAATACCCATAGCTGTTAATAGTCCCAATTTCACAATAAAAAAAAACACTAACAGACTGCAGAAAACAGGATTCATCTTTCTGTTGCATCCAAGAAACAAACACCTTACCATCAAGGACAGATCTCACCTCAGGGTAAAAGGATGGAAAAGGGATTCTAAGTGGTGGGTCTAAGAAGCAAGCTGGAATAACCATTGTAATACCAGACAAAATAGATCAAAACTAATCAGAAGAGATAGGGAAGAACACTACAGACTCCGGGGTGGGGTGGGGGAAGATCCACCAAGGGGATATGGTAATTCTAAACATATATGCACTAAAAACAAGGGTACTCAAGTTTATTAAAAACAAAAACAAAAACAAAAAAAACAAAACACTACTACAGTTCAAATCACATACTGGCCTTCATAGACTGGTAAGTGTGTAACTTCAATACTTCGCTCTCACAACAGACAGGTCAAGACAACAACTAAACAAAAAAATGATGGCATTTATGTCATAAATCAAATGGATCTAGCAGACATCTACTGAACATTCCACCCAAACAGTAAAGAATCTACTTTCTTCCCAGCAGCCCATGGAACTTTCTCCAGAACTGACCACATATTAGGACACAAAACAAGTCTCACAAATATAAGGAAATTTAAATAACATCCTAAACCTATCTATGTTAAGATTCAATCTGGGCATCAACAATAACAGAAAAAACAAAATATACAAACTCATGGGAAATGAGCTTAGTCTAATTGGTTAATTCAGAACGAGGACCCTTTCTTAGGACATGGCAAACATTCTCAAGGATGATAGTTGAGACCTCCTCCTGCATGCACACTCTTTCTCTCCTCTTTTTCTGGGGCAGATGGGTAAAAAGCCATGTCTGAGCAAGCCAACGCTTACAGTTAAGAGGGAGCAGCAGGACCAAAGCTGCTGTACTCCAGGCAAGCTGCCCAGGCAAACTTCAGACTCACAACCCTGTCTCCACTTCCCAAATGCTGGAATCAGAGATGTGTTTCACCATACCTGGCAATTACCTGTCTTTCTGTAGTCACACTGCTTCCTAACAGTAGTCACTGATGGAGAACTGTCTTATTTGATCCTTGGGGATTTTTTTTTTTTTTTATCCCGAGACAGGGTTTTTCTGTGTGGCTGTATTAGAATTCCCTTTGGTAGACCAGGTGATCTCAAACTCAGAGATCCACCTGCCTCTGCCTCCCCGAGTGCTGGCATCAAAGGCATTGTATTTTTACAAAGGGATTGTATTTTTAAACTGCTGTTGCAGTTTTACAACCTGCATGATTTCTAACAGCTAGTTAGTTCCTGGAAGACATCACTTCTTTACAACAGGAACTCAACACAGAAGGTATGCCGACCATTTTATTTTCCCCCTACTTAAGTTTTAAAATAAAATACCAAAAAAAAAAAAAAAAAAAAAAAAAAAGACGAGGTCTCATTATGTAGATCAGGCTGGCCCTGAAATCAGAGATTTTTCTGCCTCCGGAATGCTGGGATTAGAGGTGTGTGGCATCATACCTTGACAAAATAAAATACTCTTATGGAACACATTTAGCAGTCATGTACCCTTGGAATGAAAGCAATACTCTGCTTAAACAGGTGGGAAGCCAGGTCACAGACCAGTCAGTGGTACACATTTCTTCATGGTCCTTCCATGTGTAAAATTTTCTTTTTTCTTTTATCTTTCATGCTTTCTATTTAAAACTTTCATGTTTCCTACATTCACCTAAACATCAAGTCCTCTTTTAGTAGTTAGGAAAAAAACCTTACAAATTTCATAGTGTTGAGTTCATGGTAGTAACCCTACACACCTCTTCAACACAGATCATTTGTAAAACTACTGCAATAACAACTTTCTGGTTTAATTTGAAAGACTGAGACTTGAAATCTAGTAATTAAGTCAATGTACAAATCAATTATTTAATTTTCACTTGTCTTGGGAGAAGTAGTTCCCACTGCCAATAACAAATGTTTTTCAAATATTAAAGACTATGTTACAATATTTACACACATTCTTACACACTCTGACCTCATGGTCTGTGGGGCCAATGGGACTGGTATTGTGCCTAGAGGCATTAGGAGGGACAACATCCAGATGTGTTCAGGAGATGCATGGGACTCTGGGGTCAGCCATTAACAGCTGCTGAACTAGAAGAGCACAGCAGGGAAACAGGATGGGGGTTCCTGGAGGACAGGATGCTGGCTACTCTCAGCCTGGACTTTCAAAAAGCTAGCAGTACAAGCTGGGCCAGCTCTGGAGTGCTCAGCCTATGGGATCCTAGCTTACCATGGGTGTTGGGGGAGGGCAGTCTGTCTTGTAGATAGGGCAGAGTTAAACACCCACATCTTTCCTGGCGTTCCTCAGTGATGATTTTATTTCTACCATTTCAACCTGGTCATGTGTCACTTCACCATTTCCTGCAGGCCGTTTTACAAGCATGGCATACACTTGAACTCTTTTAACACACTTGGCAAATCCCATTAATGTGCTGAAAAATTTACATCCTGATGCTCTAGTAAAAGTGCTCACAAAGCTCAAATCACTATGCACAGTACTGTAAGCCTGAAGGAATGAGGTCAAATCCATGAGATTTACTAGGTCATTGATTTGTGAATGTGAATGAAATTTTCACTTGGGGCAGAGGGTGTGGCTCAGTGTGTTCTGTGGGAAGTCAAACAGTAATTAGTCACCGTTTTACAGAAGCATGTTACCCCAGATGCATGCCTATAAACCAAACAGGAACCCCCATGCCTTCTTCCTTGCTCCCTTCCAGGATGTCGTTTTTTTTTTTTTTTAAACTTATTCCTGGGGCCAGAGCAATGGGTGGGTCCCACCCAACTGCAGTATAAAGTTTAGATGGTCTTGGGGAAAACTGTATACACAACGGTCTTGAAAACAGCTGGAATGTGCTTGGTAGGGTCTTCTGGTGGCCACTTCCACATGCATCACAGAGGAGCTACTGACATGCATCATTTCAGTCAATTGGTAAAGTTTATTTCATAAGTAATTTAAAGCCATTTACTAAGCTATAAATTTCAATGCATTAGAAATGACTACTGCAGCATTTCTGAGGTGTCACTGTCAGTGTTAATGTGGAAACGTTACTCTGTGTCGATATTGCTATGAAATGCAACTGTCATGCCTTTTATTAAATGGAGCTGTCATCAATGATGACCATGAGAATGTTTTCTAAAAACTTTCAGGAATTACTGTGCATGTGCCTTCATCATTTTCCAAACATTAGTGGCAATGTGATGGGTTATTTCTAAGCACATGGAAATGAGGGACAGCCCATGGTATGTGTCATGGGAACTGAAGAATTTCAGGTACACAACACTACCTGCCAACTGCCCTTCACCAGAAACTCAGGAACATTTACAAGACAACTAGTGCAAAAAGCATCCAAAAATTGTGCACTGCAAGCAGGTCAATTTTCTTGAAATTTTAAACAGCCAGGATTTTTCTTTTAAAATTCATTTATAAAAATAAACTTCAGTTTGAGATTCAGGTACCAAACTGTGGTAAATTCGTCACAATGGCCACGCTATAACGTTATGGAAAATGCTGCTAAAACTGTATGAGACGTAACTTTTCTACGGCCCCCTCTGCGGCCACAGTCTGTCAGTTTACCAAAACACACTTAGCTGCTTGACAAAATCTTAGTCTTCCTTCTTCCTCAAACATCCACAAAATTTTAATTTTTAAACGTATATTATAAAACATTCACAACAGAGAATGAAGGCCTGTTAGCAGCTTGGGAGACAGTGAGGCATAGTGCCTGGGCAGGCCCAGCAACTCAGAGAAGTGGCCACCTGAACGGCTCCCTGGATGTTCTGCCCTGGACGCTGCTAGAGCCCGGAAGGAGTAGAGTCATCGGCAAGGCCTTCCAGGTTTGTGCTGTGAGACAGTAGACAACCTCACTGGCCCCAGGGAGCCCATGTGCCACAGGACTTTGGAGCATTATGTACATGGATAGGAACACTGTCAAGTGGAATGCCAATATGACTTACTGCTGAGAACTGTGCTAACATCAACACTCTGTCAGACTGGCTTCACACACGAGAAGCACTGTGCCTTAGTCAGGAAATTATGTGAAGAACATTGAGGAACTGAACTAAGGAAGTTTCTGGCTTCCCTATTCACACACACAAAATCAAGTTTTAGGCTTTCTGAGTGCAAATGAGCAACTGGCTGACCTCCTCGTCCTGTCCCATCAACCCATCAATATAAACACAGCCTTGAGTCTGTGCCTCAGGTGCAGCACAAGCCTGACCTGCTGCAGATGGAGCCTGTCAAAGAAAACCCCTGCAGAGTCCTGCAGCGTTGCTGCACTGAGGCCCCTCTGGACACAACAGCGAAGGGAAGGCACAGGGCTCAGACTTCATTGATAGTCCTTTCTGAGGGGCAGTACTCCGAGGGGCCTGCCGAGGACATGTAGAAAGACTGTGTCTTCCTTTTCAACCGGGCTCTTTTGTTGGCCAACACCAGGCTGCGCCGGCTTGAGCTGATGATTTCGGAAATGAACTTTTTGCAGTCTACACACACCTCCATTGTACTCCAATCCTCCATGAACTCTTTGGGAAACTGGAGTTCTTCATCTGATTTGTCCACTGATTTAGATTTTGAGGAAAACCTGTAGGGGGAAATTAAAACTATTTAGTATTCTTAACAGTTCTACTGCAATATTAAGATTAGGTAAGACAGCCTGGCAATGGTGGCACACACTTTTAATCCCAGCACTCAGAAGGCCTTGAGTTCAAGGCCAGCTTGGTCTACAGAGTGGGTTCCAGGACAGCCAGGACTATATATTGAGAGTCTGTCTCAAGAAGAGAGAAGGAAGAAAGAAGAAGAAAAAGAAGGAAGAAGGTAGGAAAAGGAGGGAAGAGGAGGAAGAAAAAAGGAAGACAAAAGAAATAACAGTGGCATCAATACTTTGGGGTGGGGTGGAGTTGGAGCGATGGCTCAGGGGTTAAGAGCACCAGTTGCTCTGAGAACCTCAATATAATCCCCAGAACCACATGGCAGCTCACAACCACCTGAAACCCTCTTCTGGACTCCACAGGTACCAGGTATACAGGTGGTTGATAGACTTACATGCCAGGAAAACACCCATGTACATAAAATATTAAAGTAATTAAAAAACAAAAGTAATACTGGAGCTGGGAGATGGCTCAGCAGGTAAGAGCTCTTGCCTGCAAATGTGAAGATAGGAGTGTTGATACCCAGCGTCCTTGCAAAAGCCAAGCAGGCATGGGGCATGCCTATAATCCTAGTACTCGGAGGCAGTCAGAGGATCCTGCAGCAAGTGGCTAATTAGAGGGAGCTCCAAGTTCAGATCTAGTCTCAGTATGAGATGGGGAGTGATTGAGTAAGAAAATGAATGTCAATTTCTGGTCTTTAAATGCACACTGCAGAGGATCCTGCAGCAAGTGGCTAATTAGAGGGAGCTCCAAGTTCAACTCACAGAGCTCCACCTGCCTCTGCCTCCTGAACGATGGGATAAAAGGTGTGCACTATCACTGCCTGGCAGAATTTTTTTATTTTTATTTTATGTGTATGAGTGTTTTGCCTCCATGTATGTGTGCAGTGCCTATACAGTCCAGAACAGAGCACCAAAACCCCACGACCGGAAATTACAGTCGTGAGGCCTCAATGGCACTAAACTCAGGTCCTCTGCAAAAGTAGCAAATGCTCTTAATTACTGAGCTATCTCTCCAGCCCCAATGACCTCCTAATCTTCCTGTCTCCCTCTCCCAACCCACCTAGCCTAAAAATCAATTTTAAAGATGTTTTTCTAAAGGCATAAAAGTTATTTAAAAATATAATTAAAACAAAACTATGTTAAAATATCTTTTAAGTAACTAGGTATTATGGACTGAAAAATTCCTTAGGAGGAACTCTGAAGTTTCCTACAAGACTGAAACTGTATCAAAACCAATGACCCAGTAACATACCCTGACCCAAACTCTACCCCTGGCATGACCACCCCAGCCCCAAGTATTATTTCCTCAGAGGATGCTCTTGAAGATTCAGGTCCCTGCTCACCTGGCGATACTTCGAAGTGGCCGATGGTGACCACTGGATGATTTTTCTGACCTCGGGCAACTCTCTCCCTTTTGCACGGCAGAAGGTCCCAATGAGAAGATAGGTAGAGTGGAATATGGCTTGGAGGGCAGCCGCATCTGTTATCCCAGATAAAAATGAGAGTGAGCTCCAGGATGGGCAGGGGCAGTAAATAGATGCAGTGGCGATTTCACTGAGTAAACTTACCTTTTTGCAACACTGTGAGCACACGGGCCTGTGTACAAAACAAGAAGTGTTACTTGGTGGAACACAATGGATGCAGATAAAGCCAAGGTTGTAGAGCTATGAGCTTCTTCAACTAATTGCAAACATTCTCTATCCTTCTGTAGACTAAAAGACAATCTTAAAATTTAACTATTACATTGTCTCTTAAAACCAGGATGTACAACTGTGGTGGCTCATGCCTGTAACCCCAGTACAAGGAAGCTGAGTGGGGGGGAGACTGCGGAGAGCCTGAGGCCAATTTCAGCTTCAGAGTGAGTTCCAGGCCAACAGTGTGACCTCATCTTAAAAACAGACACACAGATAGATAAACAAAAAGGGTGTGGAAAGCCCACCAGTTAAAGAGTCCTTCCTGCTCTTCCAAAGGATCTGAGTTCAGCTCATGATGGACTGTGACTCTAGATCCAAGGGACCCATGCCTCCTGGCCTCTGTGGCACCTACACTCATGGGGGTTCACTCACAGAGATACATATACAAGCACATAAATGAAAATAATAAAAAGAGACTTTTTTTTTTGTTTTGTTTTGAGACAGGGTCATACTATGTAGGTCTGGCTGTCCTAGAACTCAGTGAATAGACCAGGTTGGCCTTGAACTCGGAAGCACTTTCTACCTCTGCCTCCTGACTGCTGGGATTAAAGACCTGTACCATGATATCACCACTACCACTAAAAATTAATCTTAAAACTTAACAGTAGCAACAAACCAAAACATAGACTAACAAATAAAAGGGATAAACTTCTATTTGGAATTTTATTAGTGTACCCAGGGATCATATGATAGCCATGGATTTTTTTTTTTCCTGTTCAAGGATGGCAGAGTCATTTCGCTTATGTAAAAGAAACAAACCAGGCACAGAGGTATATGCCTGCAACCCCAGCATTTGGGAGGCAGAGGCAGGAGGATTAGGAGCTGAAGAGCACCCAAAGCTCTGTAATGAGCTTCAGCTCGGCTGTCTCACAACCCCCTCTCAATTAAAAAAAAAAAAAAAAAAAAAAGGAAAAGAAAAAGAAGTAACATGCAGAGTAACTTTTGTTTTCCAGTTCAGCAACAGTCTAACCCACTCTTGAAGAAACTGCAGTGGTAAGGTAGGCACAGTGCAAAGCCACAAATGCATCCTTCCTAATTAATGCTCCCCTCAAGTGGGATGAACAAAAGCCTTACCTCTTACAGAACTGACAGGTGTATGACCACGTGAAGAAGGAAAACCTCCGTGTCCGGCAACAGAAGCAAAGCTAAAACATACAAAATTAAAAGAGAAGGGAAATGGGCCCAATCCTTCCTGGCTTTTGTGCTGGATCTACTTCCTGCTCATCTAGGCAATGTTGCTGGTATGTTTGCAGACAGAAGAGAGGACTAGGACCCAGAAACCCTGCTTTTATGCTTAGCACGGACACATAACCCAGTTCTATGTTTTGTCATTAAACATTATTTCTTCAAAAGTAATAATGATCACAGTGCCCAAGCATCTCATGGTCACAGGATCAATTCTGAGGAAAGCTAACTTCTATTTCCCAGACATGCTTTCTTTACAACTCAAGTACATATGGCTTTAGGAAGCTATATTTTATCTTTATCTTTTAGGGTCGTTCTTAAACCTTTTATTAACTCTGCCAACAGAGAAACAAATAAACAAATAAACAAAAAAAAAAATCCCCTCTTGTGAATGAGAAGAACAGGGAACAACCTAGAATATATTAAATACCTGACCTTCTAAGACCCCTTAAGTCCTATACCACCTGGCTAGCACACCAGCCTCTTAAGAGACCATGCCTGTACAGTTCAACCCACTTATCAGTTCTACCTTTCCTTTTTTCAGGGCAGTGTAGACATCCTTATACTGTTGGTACTTTTCCAGTTCTGCTTTCACCAGGACCTGACGAATATGCATCACTTCCTCCACAGTGAGAGCCAGGCACTCCACTGGGTAGCAGAATTCCTCCTGAAATTCAAAGTGCCTTGTGAGTGAGGAGTGCCAGCCCTGCTCTGGGACTGCAGTGCTCCTCAAGATCAGACACCTGGTTAGTAGTTTCAGAGGACAGGATTCCCATAATCACTGGGACACAGCTGGCTCCTCTGGGGACCACATCACTAAGTGTACCAGAGAAAACAGGACCGTGACCGAGTGAAATGCTGCAGCCAATAAACCGAAGTTCTCACGTTTGGCCAGGTAGTTTTTGCCTTCAGGAAAGCTATTATCTATGGTTGAAATCTTGAGAAAACATGGTTATTCTAAACAAGTTTTGTGTCACAGATCATTCTGCAAATATTTTGTGCGCTACACTCTACTAGAAATGAAGCAAATCTACAAGTTTGGTCCTGTTTTCAATACTGGTTTGTGGTACCCAGAGCAGCCAAGTGAAGGTGGTTAGTATTTTATATGGATAAGCATTACTGAGCAATCAGTTACATCAGCACATTTTCAAAACTCCCTAATGCTGAGTGGGACAACAGGAAGTGGAAGCACGGACGCTAACTCCCTAAGCCCATCTCTCCGGCCGCCTAGGACTTTTAGCGACTGCTGGATACACAGTCAGCACAGATGGAGACAGCCTCTTGTGATAAATATTTATGTTGGCTTCTTATGTTAATGGCCTCCTTACAAACAGCTGTGAAAAATGTTGATGTAACTGATCCACTGAATAAGAGCCTCGAACCATCCGTTCTCCATCCGGTGCTGTTGATTGGTGGATCTAAGAGAAAGACAGAACGGCCCTGTGCACTCAGGCCCTGCCAGGCTTCAAGGGGCCATTGTGGTTCATTGACACTGAAACTCAATGTTCTCAGCACACACATTACAATTCACTCCCACATGCCACAGCACTGCTCCCAGGCATTCTGGAACCAAATAAGCCAAATGAGAAAGCACATGACCACAAGGGCAGTCAGTTTATGGAGTTTTAATATTCAGTTCTGTCTTTCAATCAGAAAGAAACAAAAGTAAATCTAGGTTGCAAATTTCACAAACATTAGCATTTACTAAAAAACCTAGTCTGGCTCACTTTGCTTCAATTCAACACAGAATTGCTTAAGCTGACTTAAAGGGGCGGGGTTTGCTTCAGCTTTGGGAAGAATCCTGCAGTTGAGTTGTTAAGGAGCTTCTCAGCAGGTGGGGGCCAGGGTTTGCAGAAGGAGATTGCGTCATTTGCTCTAAGATGCCCACAATGGGCATTCAGAAGGAGCCGCCGCTGCCATCATCCACTTTCACTTTTAGTGGGAAAGCTTTCAGAGACAATATGTACTTACTTTGTCTTACCCAGAGAACAGAACAGTGTCATAGGGACAATGAGCCACCTCTGTGAAGGTTAGGCCCGTTAAGTGTGGCTTGTGGCTGCACACGGTTTCTTGATGAGTTTCCTTTTTCAACGTTTTTCTAGCAGTATTTACTAAAAGGTGGCTGATGGCTAACTAGGACAAAACTGCTAAACCGCAGCAAAATCCTGCACTGATCTAACTAAGCAAGCAAGCATTCACTCGGCTCCCTGTGTCCTGCAGCTTCCAGGCTGTGAAGGGTTGTCATGTGAGGAGAGACCACCACACAAAACAAGCTACCAGCCTGCTTCCCTGTCTGCAGTCTAAGTCACAAACAGCTTACTTTGTCAAGATACCTTCAACTTTCTGCTTTGAACCACTTGTAAATCAGCGCTTCACAGAACACTTTAAGAAATCATGGAGTTTGTTTATTTTCTTTCACAGAACACTTTAAGAAATCATGGAGTTTGTTTATTTTCTTTTCCTTTTTAAAAAAACTTCATGCATACTACCCCGTAGTAAAAACAAATGCTAATGTTTTAACTCTAGAGCTTGCCCAAGGACAACAAGACTTTAATGCAACATTGTGACTAGAAGAGTTTCAATTGTTTTTCTATCTGACAATATTAATTCAAAACCTCTAAAGCCAAATCCAACTGTAACAGATCTGAAGAGCATGCCCGGTGCTGGGACTAGAGAGTGCCTCCACCACCTGACCCTGTGTATTGTCTCCTGCTGTGGGCTCAGTGGGTTGGGTTATACCAGCCTGATTGTTGCTCTAATGTCCCAAAGTAACTCAAAATGTGGGGGAAAGCAGCAAAGGCTTTGACAGTAGGGCCACACATGCCACAGCTGATTTACATGCTTACAAGTTGAGTTTTACTGAATATTCTGGTTACAGTTTAACCACATAAAAGGGGTCAGGATGAGGCAGCACAGACATTAGACAGCAGAGTGTGAAACTGGCTATTAGTTACTGGGCCACAGAGAAATGAGAAGATTGGTCGGTCGGTCGGTCTGTCTGTCTGTCTGTCTCAAAGAGGGGCATGGGCGTGAGTACCAGCATGAGGCTGTGGACATAAGAGGACCACTTGTGGTTCTCTCCTTTCACAATGTGGGTCCTGAGGATTGAACTCTGGCCATCAGGTTTGGTAGGCAACAAGTGCCTTAACCTGCTGAGTCATCTTGCAGGCTCTGAGAAGAGAGATCTTTTATATAATGGCTTCAGTTAGAAAGAAACTTAAAGACACGTCAGTATCAGATATTTATAAACTATCCAAAGTGAGGCCAATTTAAATAAAACATGACTTACATTTAATAATTCATCTCTTTAAATTCAATTTTAAAATTGAAAGTGAATTTGTTTTTTGCTTAAAACAGTCTTTGGACTTTGTAGGTATTTCTGTTTGAGGGTGTTCAAAATAAAATGTGAACATGTATCGGTAAGAGGAATTAAAGAGTCACCTATTTTGTCTAAGGGTCTGACCTAAAGTTAGGTGGGAAGTGATGGACACAAGATGGGACATGGAGATTTCATGACCAATAACAGAATTAGGAACATGCTCACTGCTCCTTGCATCTTTACATTCAGATGAGTAACAAAGAAATGAGCTGCCCAGGGGGCTTGTTTTATAACACTGACCCTTGAAGAGTCAGGTCCTTTCTGCTCTCTACCACTGGGGAAGGGGCAGGGGATTTAAGGTGGTCTTTACAAAGAATTCAAATGATAGTAACATATATTATTCTGCGAGGGAAAAAATACCTCCCCTACAAAAAAGTGATAAAATGAGAAACAGTGAAAATGTTTGGAATAACTGTCAGACTCACTTCTCCTTCTGGAGAAGCAGCACTCTGAGGGGAATGGGTATGTGGAAGAAACATCAGGGATGCACCCACACCTCTACAGATGTGACAGGCTGTCCAATGTGGCCAGCTGGGTGAGTGAATAAACCCTTCCCAGGGCTCCAACAGTGGGAGATCACTGGGGCCCTCACAGGGGTGCCCCGCAGGAGTCGGAAGGAAGCCTGCTGACAGTGAGTCATTCCCAGAGACAAACACCCACAGGCTTTCTAGCTGATGCTGCATTTTGAGTTTGTTGTCCTTTCAGCTATTTTCTTCTCCAATGAGATCACAGCATGATCTATGCGTCCTAAACAAGATTGGAATCAGCGATCAAAAGCAAAGTGCCCTTCTGAGCTGTTAATTCTTGCGGAGTGCAGTAGGTGAGGATCACTGTCAGAGATACAGAGAGTAAAGGATTCCCAGAACCAGCTGAAAGAGGCCAACCTTTGAGGGTTTCCACCTGCTGGTAAAAGCTCTCTCAAACAGATAATACATAGCCCCTGCTACCCCAAACATGGCTGCTTCAAAAGGATGAGAGCTCAGCAGAGAAGCTGTTTGTATGGTAGAGAAAAGTGGTCGGAAAGGCGTCCTTGGCCATACACTGCTTATCCTAGGAACCTGAACAATGGAAGGGAAAAAGAAAACAGCAGGGGGAAAGAAAAGGAGAAAATGCTGAACACGTGACCTACAAACAGCAATTACAGACTGTGAAAGAAAAACAAAACAAAACAAAGCAAAACAAAAAGCAACATGTGGATGGCAATGGTACATGCTGACATCCCATCCATTTTTGTAAGTCAGGAATCAACCAGTAAGCCATGCCCCAAGGGTCACTCTGCAGAAACACTTAGGGCTGTGAGCACTGTGATTTTCCCAAAGGAGGCTGCGTGAGATGCAGAGTAGAGTTCTTGGCTCCCATGCCCACAGCCCACCTGCCCCTGCCCTGGGAAGGCCCTTAAAGACAATTGCTTTTCATGTGAACCGGCAATCAGTATCAGCAATTTGACCAAACACTGAAAAAATGAAAAAGTATTTAAATATAATGAAATAAAATTTATTAACAGCAAAAACATTCCTGCCATTTTCTTCTTTTCTACAATGCAGTTAAAGTGTTCCATGACTATGCTTTTTAAGAACATCATTTACTGAAGTAGAGGCCATCACTGTCAGTTATTTCCACAAATTCACCAAGCTACTAGTGAGAAAGTGAAGCCACTGTGTGGAAGAGGCATTTCCCTCTCAGCTGGTGACCCTGTGCACTTGAGGGAGTGGTCCCCCAGCATGACCTCCTTCCCTGCCTTTTAACTTTCACTATCTGTGTGGGGCAGGGCCCCTTTCCCACTGTCTGTTCCCAAGACCCTCCCTACTCAGTGAGTGCAAACAGCTGTCTTCGTTTTTTCTCCTTCTCCACAAGAAGCTCACAGTCTGACCAAACATACATCATAGTTCACCTTCCCCAGCAAACAGTCTTTGTGTGGCCTGCATGTGGCTGTAGGGCTTGGCGTCACTTATATTATTAGAGCAAAGTACGTTGTAGTAATCTATAGCTCCTTTATGATCATAACTTTCTCTGTCCTTTGTTTTTTTTTTTTTTTTAAACATAGTCTCAAGGAACCCAGAAGGCTGACCTCGAGAGTGACCTTCAACTTCTGGTCTTCTTTGCTGTATTGTCCCAAGTGGTGTATACATTATAGGCGTGCACTACCACATCTAGCTGTGTAGTATATTTTGGTAAAGTAAAAATTTGTTCATAACTGGCTAACAGGTTTTGGATTTTAAATCTGAGCTTATTTCGCTGAGTTGCTTTACTGCTCCATTTTCACCAAAGAATAGTTTCTGTTATTTATTTGTTTTTCAAGACAGGGTTTCTCTGTAGCTTTGGAGCCTTCCCTGGAACTTGCTCTGTAGACCAGGCTAGCCTTGAACTCAACAGAGATTCTCCAGTGCTGGGATTAAAGGCATGTACCACCACTGCCCAGCTAGCTTTAAAACAGGTTCTTATTGGGTAGCACAGGTTGGTCTGGAACTCACTATGCATCTCAGGCCTTGAGATGGCCCTGAACTTGTGGTGACCTTCTAAATATTAGCATTACCAAGCACAACACTATGTCAGTAGCTCAGTCACTATGGAGGAGTTAGAAAAATCTCATAAAAAAAAAAAAAAAATGGCCATCACCCCATGAATTCTTTAATTATATTATTTTGGAATAGAGGTGACATCAAATGCCACACTCTAAACTCTGCCCACACTTCCTGTCTATACTGACCACTGTGTCCCCTCCTTGAAGGAAGGATAACTGTTTGCTGCCTCATTTGAAACACATAGGACTCATTATAGGTAAAGATGGAGCTATAAGCATGTTCATGTGATTTTTATTCCTGAGTATTTGAAAAAAAAAAAAAAAAACATTACCTATTAGAGCAGTGGTTCTCAACCTTTCTAATGCTGTGACCCTTTAGTACAGTTCCTCATGTGGTCACCCTCAACCACAAAATTATTTCATTGCTACTAACTACTTACTACTGTTGTGAATTGTAATATAAATATCTGATATGCAAGATATCAGATATATGTGATCCAAAGGGGTCCTGACCCACAGGTTGAGAACCTCTGTGGGTGGAATGCTGGTGGACCCCTGCATCTTACTGTGTTGTGGAAGCACATGAGGGAAACCAAAAGGGTCTCTACAGACTTCTGCTGCTAGAGCAATAAACTTTTCTGCGTGTGCTATCCCACTGTAAGGAGCTGTTACCCACTATTAAATGCTAAGACAGCAGCTCCGGCCTGCATTATGTACACACTAAAAAGCAAAATAGAGCTCTTCCTATTCTGCTCAGATAAAGTAATCTACTCAGCTTTTTATGCGGAGAACTTTTTGACAATTTTAAGTGGATTAATATGCTCTAAGACAAAGCAAGCATTTCTTTAACAAACCTTTTGAAAATGAGTACTCACAGCAAAGACTGGTCAAGTGTAGCCAGAGCCCATTTTCTTTAGAAATTAAGCACACAGACATTAAATGCATGCTAGCCTGTGAGGGAGGGCTTTCCTCTTTTCCACTCTGGAAACAAGCCTCCTCTTCCTCCCTGACATCTCTGTTCATTCTTTGGTACTTACAAGGGAGCGTGAGTTCTGCCTGCATGGCGGCAGAAACTGCCTCACGTTTGTAGGTGTTTCCTTTTCAATGGAATGGCGCCTCTGGGGTGGTTGCCGTCTCTCTGGCTGGGGTGTTGATGAGATAGGCAAGAATTTCGGAGGCTCTAAAAATGTAACCAAATAAATGGACTCTATTAAAAAATAAAATATTGAATTGTGAATTTTCCAACAGATAACCTCTGCACTATGTGACAACACTGTATTTGAAGATGAAGCACTTATTTATTTCAGTAGAGAGCTATTCTAAGATGTGTTTGCTTTTAAAAATAAAGTGCTTGTATTTGTATTCTCCTTATTTTGGAGTAATTATCTACTTGATGTTTATAGGTCTGGCTTTTTCACCTGAGAAACAGAATCTCATTCAGTATATTTAATTTTATAATAGTCATGGAGCCAAATCTTTGGGCTATATCCAAGGCACAAATTCCAGAAAGTGTATATTCACAATGATGTAAATTTTGTGCCTTGAGTAACTTTGTAAAGTATCTCAGAAAACCTGGCAATCCCTTCTATCTTCATAAGACTTTTTAAAAATGTATTTATGAAGATGACTGTACTATAAATATTTTGGGCATGACTAATTTGTATCTCTTCATATTCATTCTGCATGATCTGTATATAGTACATCAACTTAGAGGTGTGACCTTTAACTTTTTTTAAAAACTGGGAGGTCAATAAAATTTAAACTGTTTAACAAAAAAATGAGTTATGCTGTCACAGCTTTGTTTAGCACTTTCTCCTACTCTACTTGCAAAGCAAGGCTGCTTCATACAGTAGAGAGGAAGAATCAACAGAGTTAAGTAGGCAAATGAAAAATATAATTTCCAGTCAAGAAATGACAGTGAAGTTCATTATACAATTTGAAGGGCACTCTATAATATTAGTTTAGTCATTTATATTGAGACAGGATGTCCTGTGGTCCAGGCTGGCCTCAATCTGCTACATGGCTGAGGCTGACCCAGACTGCTGACCTGATCCCATTACCTCTACCTCCTGAGTGCTGGGATTATAGTCATCACTCTACAGCTGAGCTCCAGCTCAGGGGCCTCTTGTGATGTTTAATGGGCCTGGCCAACAAGCAAGGCCAACTCTTACTGACTTAACTGTATGTGTGTGTGAGAGAGAGGTGAGTACACATGTGTGTCGTGTAACAATGCACATGTGAGAGTCAGAGGATAGCTTTTAGAAGTCAGTCAGCTCTTGCCTTCCACCATGGGATCTATGGACAGAACTCAGGTGGCTAGGCTTGCAAGGCCAGTACTTCTACCCTCTGAGTCATCCCCCATCCCTCATTGCTTTTACATAACTGTTTACATAACTGAAATGCTATATAATCCCAGGACTTGGGAAGGAGGAGCAGGAGGATTAAGATTCAAAACCACCCTGCAGTACATGAGATCCTGTTTCAAAAGAATATAAGAACTCAAGCTAAAGCTGGGTGGTGCTGCATGCCTTTAGTCCTAGCACTCAGGAGGCAGAGGCAGGTGGATCTCTGTGAGTTCGAGGCCAGCCTGGTCTACAGAGTGAGTTCCAGGACAGCCATGGCTGTTACAAAGAGAAACCCTGTCTAAAAGATAAATAAGTAAATAGGACTTGTTTCTATTTTATGCGTGTGTATTTTGCCTGCATGTTCATATGTACACCATGTGTGTGCCTGGTGCCTAAGGGGAGTTACAGATGATGTAAAGTGCTATGTGGGTGCTGGAAACCTAACACAGATCCACTGCAAGAGAGGTAAGTGTTCTTAACTACTGAGCCATCTCTCCATCCCCCAAGAACACCTTAATATTCATGAATTGATTTCTAACTGTTCTTAATGACTTCATATTACTGAAAGCCTTTACATCATCCCCCCCCACCCTGTTTTTAGTTTTTCAAGACAGGGTTCCTCTGTATTGGTTTGGAGGCTATCCTGGAACTCGCTCTGTAGACCACCTGGTCTCAAATTCAGAGATCTGCCTGCCTCTGCCTCCAGAGTGCTGGGATTAAAGGCATGCACCATCACCACCTGGTGTCTTTAGAAATCTCTTAATTTTAGACACTGTACTCAGAATCCACAGCTCCCTATCTATAAAATTGTCTTTACTATCTACACATGTATTGGGCATGGCTGTACATATATTACACCAGGCAGGGAGCAAATATGGTTATTTAGTGCTTCTGAGCTTAAATTCAGACACTGCTGATTTATCTGTATGTGTGCTTGCTAGGTATAAAAAATAAACTTGCTTGATCTAGTTAAGCTAACTGTCCACGCAGCCTGGGAAGATATCTGAGCCTGTCTGTTTCTGACACTCAAGTAAAGGGTTAGTTCTACATATCCCAAATGATCACAGTGTGCTGTGGGGCCCTTGCTCTAGGTCAAGTGTTGTGTAAGGTATGTAAGGTATGCACTCACTCTTCCTTGTGCACATGGCCTCCAGTACTGGGTCCTCATAGAGGGAGGGAGATACACTGCTGCTGCTGGTTGACTTGTGCAGAGTTTCCTCCTGAAAAAGGCAATTTGTAAACTTCAGATCCTGTGCTATGAATAACATCCTAGTAAACAGTACTTTAACATGAGACACTAAATTGTGTAGAGTTCAAGGTAAACTAGAAGGGGTCTAAAACTAGGGATGGGCTCATGTCCTCACTTTGCATAATTAAGTGATGGGACAGGGTGGGAGAGATCAAGCCAGTATGCAGCATTTCTCCATGACCTCTGCTTTGCTTCCTGCTTTGAGTGCCGGCCCTGGATTCCCTTAATGGTAGACTGTAACCTATGGGCTGAAATAAACCCATTCTAACACAAGTTACTTTTGAGCATGGTATTTACCACAGCAACTGGAAAGCAAAGTAGAATAAGAGCTTTATCCACTGGGCCCAACACCAACATGTGTTCTTGTAATGGAAAATAGATTCCCAGTGTCCCACGAGATTCTGAAAGATGGGTGCTAGTGCTGGATGGACTTAGCTGTAGTTCCCATTCCATTTCTAGCTGCTGGACATTATACTTCTGTATGCATCTGATGTCAAAATATGTTTTGGTGTTTAAAAACAAGGGATCTGGATGTTCCTCAAGATAGGAGGAAATGTTCAGGTACACTGGAAAAGTAAGTGGGTGGGGAGGAGGTAGGAGAAGGAGGTTGAAGATGGGCTTCTCCCCCTTCTTGAGACTATTCTTTATTTGTTCACTGCACAGCCTCAGTTGGTTTGCACAGCCATCACAGACACAGACAGAGTCAGTTACAAAGCTATGAGAAAGCTGTGTGCATGATGAGCCTGGATTGTGAGGACAACTACTGGAGCATGCCATGGCACAGCAAGACCAACATCACACAGAAACAGCAAGAACCCTGGCTGTCTGCTACATGCATGAGATCAGGACTGAGTCTCTGGACTTTGTAGTGTTCAGCTGCACAGCCTAAGGCACTCCTAGCAAACATGTGTCTCATCAGGCATGCTTTTAATTCTCATTTAAATTAGAATTAATTGGAATGTTAACAATAGCACACTTCTGCCTCTGCATTTGATACTTACTGAAGACAATAATGAAAAAAAAAAAAAAGGAAAAAGAAGAATTTGTGAAAAGAAAGAAAAAGAATAGTGGGAGAATTACATTAAGCGGGGAATAAAATTTACTAGGAAAAGTGAACAGAATCTAATGTATGATGGGAAACACTGAACATCTTTGCATCTATGGCCATTATCAGAAGCAAATATGACCAAGCAAATAAATGTTGGTTTAGGGGATTCCTGACATCAGAAATTAATAGAGGAGTGAGGGATATCCATTGCCATTTATTCCTTGCACAAGTTCTGGATCAATAAAATCAATTGCCCTCATGGGGGGCGGGGGCACAGATAGGAGGGCTGACAGTCCTGCTAGAGGACAGAAGGACTGGCTCTGTCACCAAATGTAGGATGCAGGCACTGACACATGTGGACACACGGACAGCTAACAAGATGTTCCTGTGCTCTCTCCACACATTCATAGCAAGGACTCAGGGCAGGTACTGTGGAGAACCGTCTTCACTGTTTCACGCTATTAAGACCAGGTGTTTCATTCACCTATGTAAATATCTGGCTTTTACAAGGGATACTTTTTCGTGGCTTTAACCAGGTAAAAGATAGTCTGGAAGTAGCTGATGTTGGAAGAGATGTTTAGGATGAATGCAATTTATTTGCCAATATTAAACTAAAGCTGTGTAATCAGAAGTTTTTACAAAAAATACTCATGTGTGTATAGGAGGATTTGGGACATCTTTCCCTATCACCATCCCTTGGCCTGTCCCTGACTCAAGCAAGTCTCTTTGGGATCCTGGGGAAGCAAACAAGCCCAGAAACCCTCCTGTCTCTGTCCCTGTCCCTGCCCCATTTGGAGCTAGAGCCCCATTTGGAGCTAGAGCCCCAGCCCCAGTCACATGTGGGAACCTGGCTTGTCATGTGGGCACTGGGACCTGACTCCTAATTGCTGCTCCATCTCTCCAGCCCCATCAATAGAAACTGATAACATAATACAAATCCCCAATGTGAACAACAGCTGATTTCAAATAAGCCTCTTGCATATCTGAGCTTTCTAAACATTAAAGATTTAATGTAATTAGAAACTGTAAAGCCTGTGTCTAAAAAATGAACACAAAGCATTCCTGGACATACCTTTGATTAGCCTTTCCTTATACTTAAAAACACCAATTTAAGGCTGGGTGGAGGTAGCACATGCCTTATTCCACATGTGTGTCTATGCGCCATGGACAAGAGTGAAAGGTGCCATTTTTGTCTAAGTAAGGGCCAGGCAGTGGAGACCTAGCAAGAGTGCTTGCAGCTCAGCAGATGGTAGAGGTGCAGCATGGATGCAGGTGTGGAAACCAGACACATGGGCATTCTCCCCAGAAGGGCACTAGGTAAAGCAAAGACTCCCGCGAGCCCGGCTCTCTCCTTGAAGGTTTCTTTGTTGGCACTACAATTACAGGAAGAACAATTCTACATGTGTCTATGTGTACTGCAGAGGGAGAAGAACCTACAGAAACATGTCTCCACCTTATTTTCTCCTGCTCAAAATGAAGATAAAGGTCATAAGAGTTTTAAGACTGCTGACTTATCTTACTCCTACTTATAATAAGACTATATAGATCTTAATTTCAGTGCTATTCCCTAAGCATATCCACCTCACTGGTCTGTAGTAATAACAGTAACTGTCCTTACTGCCAGCTACATTAACTTAAATATTACCTTTACTGACTGAATCATGAAGAGAAGAGGAAGCAGCTTAAGGAACTGGGTGGGAGCCATCTCCATGCCTGGCATCCTTACCTCAGAGTCAGAGCTGTCCAGCTCGGCCAGGGTCGGGGCCTTGAGGAGTTTCTTCCGCTGTGCAGGTCCTGGCTGGGCAGCACCCAGCCCATTTTCTTTTGTTTGAGATGCTAAGGCTCCATTCACCACAGATGATTCCCCAACATTCTTTGGAGATTCTGGGGTAGTGACATCTAGTAAGAGAAAGGCAAAAGCTTACCTTTTCTTGAGCCAGGAAAGGTAATCTGTGTTGGAAGCACCACCAGGTGACACCATTTCCATGTCACACAAATAAAACACAAAGGCTCAGTACAATGATGCCATGCCTGTGCATATGGAACATTTGTTTAAGCTGTTGTCAGATTATAGGAAAACTTAAAATGAATAATTATCTATTCATATTTGTAGTTTAGAACTCAGAATTGGAAGAAATCCTAGATAACAGATCTTGATTTCTTGTTTCCCAGATAAATAAGCTGAGGCTCTGAGAAGCAAGCTATATTCATGCTAAGGCGTCAGTAGTGGGTAGAGGAAAGACAGCACACACAGTCCCCCCACCCAGGGATAAGATCTAAAAACATCTTGTCCTAAAATTCAAAGAAGCTAAGAATCCATACTCAAACACATTTATGTAAGCACCGAGGATCTGGGACACATCTCCTCAATACATCAGATTTAAATTATTAAGGGCTCACATCTGAATTAAGAAAGCCCTTCCACATTATGAAGAAAACAGCAGTATACAGTTGGCATAACCCAGACAGGATTCAAAGTCTACCTCTACTATTATCTGTCTGGGTAAGCTCCCTAACCTCTGGTTCCTTCCCCGTAAAGCAGAGTAGTACAGATAGTTGGTTGTGAGAATTGAGCAGGTTAGTAACTGTGAGTGATATCCTGTGCCTAAAACTGTCAATATTAGCCAACGATAACACTAGTTTTCAGCTCTCCTAAGTAATTCAAGCCCTTGACTGACAGTGCTGTGGGCCATAGCTGATTCCCAAGGCATGCTTTTTGGTACTCTAGCCTGAAATCCTCCAATGAAAACAATTTATTTTCTTGAGCATTTCATTTAAAGACAATATGGATTATCTCAAATAGCTAACTATAAAATCAGAGAAGTGAAAATGTGGTAAACAGTGCATAATTTAACGTGCAGACTAGCATGATCAATTGCACAGAGAATCATCCATGAAGCTTCTCTTGGGTAAGGGCTTCTAGATACCAAACTGAGAAAGCCTTTGGGAGGGGGAAGCATTGTAAATGAAGGTTATTTTTCTCTTAACAAGTGATATCTATATCCCTAAGTAGAAAACACCCAACACATTTATTTATTTATTTATTTATTTATTTATTTATTTATTTATTTGAGATAGGGTCTAATGTATAGCAGGCTGGCCTTGAACTCACTATGCCACTGGGAAGGACCACCTTCTGATACTCTTGCCTCCACTTCCCTTGTGCTGGGATTACAAGTGTGTACCACCATGCTCAGTTTATATGATGCTGGGGATCTCACCCAGGGCTGTATACATACTAGGCTAGTACTCTACCAACTGAGCTACATCCTCAGCCCCTTTATAACTGTGTTCTTACATTTTCCTTGACATTACTTAAAGGAACTATATATCATTTCTTACTACAATGATATACTTCTTATTTAAAATTTACAATGTGTTGATACATGTCTGTAACACCAGCATTCACAAGGCTAAGGCAGGAAGGACTCATTGTGAGCTTGATAGCCTGTGATACACTGCAAGTAACAGGCCAACTACAAGAACATAAAATATGTCTAGGCCAGCCTGGTCTACAGAGCAAGTTCCAGGACAGCCAAGGAAACCTGTCTTAGAAAAAAAAAAATCCAAAAATTTCTTGTATGATTTTTATTCTTATAGATCAAGAAGATCAGAAAACAGGCTCTTCAAAAACTGTAGAAGGTTTGAATAGCTACAGAGGATGGGGGACTGAAGGAACAAGAGGACAGAGAAGGAGAAGGAAAGAAGGGAGAAGACAGGGCTTACTAATTCACAATTTGGGTAAAAAAAGTTTTTTGAGCTCTGATTTGATATGTAGCCCTACTTATCCTGGAAGTCACTATGTAGACCAGGCTAGCCTTGAACTCACAGAGATCCTCCTACTTCTGCCTCCTGAATGCTGGGACTATAAGTATCTCCCAAGACTGGGCTCATGCCATCAAGGCAAAGAGTTTTTACTGGCTATATATTCATTTACTATATTGTAAAAAGATCCACTATTATATCACACCACATTCTTGTGGATGTATTTGCTTAAGGAAATTTAGGAGTTGTTTAGGGTAGATTAATTTTTTTAAAAAAATATTTACTTATTTTTTTTAAACTTTCTTTGAATTTAATCTTTGTGTCTTTCACAACATGCATCTTGAACTCTTTCATTTCCTGTTCCTGCATATCTGACCTCTGCCCTTGCAGTCCCCCCCAAAAAAAATTTAAGAGAAAAAAAAGATGGGGGGGGGGAGTCTCATCATGGAAGTTGTAGCGTGACACAGTGAGTCACAAAGTAAAAGGTGAAAGATTTATAGGCTCTGAAGAGTCATTGGTCTGGTTTGAGGCCTCTGGTTTCTGCTACACTGTGCTGGGCCCTCATTAAACTCCTCTTGGTTAACATACTGTTGCCCTGTGTGGTGGAGATCCTGCAGCTTTGGGTCTGCAGGATCAGTCCCTTCACGTGCTCCAGCAGATCACAGATGAGGTGGATGTTGGGGTGAGTCAACACATACTGGTTCTGGGCCTGGGTAGTTGCAGGGTGGGTCAGCCCGCCAGCTGAGAGCCAGGGTGAGCTCTCCTGCATTGCCTTGGAGAGTTCATTCTTTGCAGTGATGGGGGAGAGTGGGCGGAGTTCTCTGGCTTTCATGTCCTCAGGGTTGGATCTCCCACACCTACACCTTCAGGGCCAGTTCCTCTGTGTTGCCCAGGTATGACATAGGGACCACTCTCCCAAGTGTTGCAGCTGATGAGGGGCAGGGATAGGATCTGTCTTATGACCTCAGGGCCAGTTCTCCCACCTGCCTCAGCATTGATGGGGGTGGGGAGAACATCTCTCCCCGACCCATGCTGCCACTGGACAGAAGAGTAGTGGGGACAGCTCTCCCATGCTAACAACTTCCTGGGATGGCTCACCCATACCTCCACCTATAGGATTGGCTTGATTCTGCTGCCCAGGCAGGTGCAGGGCCTATTCTCCCAAGTGTTGCAGTTGGTGGCAGTCAGGGATAGCTCTCCTGCCTTTCTGGCCTCAAGGCCAGTGGTGAAAAGATGTATGTGTTTGTTTTTCCTACATGTATGTATGTGCATCAGGTATGTGGCTGTAGACACCAGAAGTGGTTGTCAGATCCCTGGTTGTGAGCTGTTATTGTGGTGCTGGGATCTGAGCCCAGGTCCTCTGGAAGAGTGACCCATTCACTGAGCCATCTCTCCAGACCCAGGGTAGTTTGAAAATTTTTAAATTGTATTGCTAGTGTTTCATATTAAAGTAGTATTGGTGTTGGTGCAGTTGTTGGCTATTCTTGATTGTTAACTTGGCTACATTTGGAATTAACTAAAACTCCCGCAGCTAGGCACACCTGTGAGGGATTTTTAATTAAATCTTTTGAAGCAGGAAGACCCACCCTAAATCCTCATCTTTATGGGTCATACCTTTTGGTGGCAGCCTGTAATAAAGGGCATAGGAGAAGGAAGTACTTGTTCTTTGTCTGTTTGCCCTCATTCTCTAGCAAGTTCATCCCTTACTGGTTTATCGAAAACCATCAGAGACATCCAGCCTCTTGGACCAAACAGCTTTGGATTCTTGGACTTTTCTACAGAAGACAGCCACTGCTGGGATAGTTGCACCACAACTTGTAAGCTAAGACACTCTATTAATTCATGTATGTGTATGTTATCTACATAGAATATATATTATATATATAATTCATTCTATCAGTTTTGTATCTCTACATACCCCTGACTAATACAACTGGCAAAATCAAAGCCTGGTGTGGTGGTGCATGCCTACATTCCTAACAGTTGAGGAATTAAGGCAGGAGAATGGCCAAGTTCAGTTATCAAGGTGTGCTTGGGATACAATGTGAACTCAAAGGAAGCCCGAGTAACCCTCCCTCAAAACAAGAAGGACTCCACTAGTGAAGTGCTTGTTTAGTATGCACAGGCTCTGGGTTCAAGCCCCAGCACACATAACATCAGGCATGGCAGTATTCTCTGTAACCTCAGTGCTCAGAAGTGGAGGCAGGAGGGTCAGAGGTCATCCCTGGTTACACACCAGGTGTGAATCAGCCTATCTCAACAAACAAAACAAAACATGCTTTTTAAAAAAAGTTAAGAGCCATGGAAGTAATGCATGTGGTTTAGCACTTGCCCACCCTGCCCTGTTGGCCTCTGGGAATTCAATTCATATCACACACACACACACACACACACACACACACACACACACACACACACACAATTCATTATCTCTCTCTTTCTCTCTCTCACATACAAAATTCATCTCTTTCTCTTTCATACACACACAAAATTCATCTCTCTCTCTCTCTCTCTCTCTCTCTCTCTCTCTCTCTCTCTCTCTCTCTCACACACACACACACACACACACAATTGGGGAGGAAGTTGGCAAAATGACATACAAACTGAAGTTTAGGGAGAGCCACTAAATGACAAAGGTTACCCGGAACAATATGCTATAGAACAAACAAACACTGTTGTGTGGCTCACTGACTGAGATGATGGAAACAACATCTGTAGAAAGTTCAAAGCTTTGAGGGGAATGATACTGGTAAAAGGTTTTGCCAGGAAGTTTCTGGTGATCTCCAAGACTAGATATTGTCAAGTCTCATTTCCTATAAATCTTGGCACCACATATTTTGAGGAGTTATTATTTGTATTTACTGTTGAAATAATAAATACTATTATTTCAGTGTATTAAGTGAAATGTGTCAAACTCTTTTTTGTTCATTTGTTTTTTGAGATAGGGTGTGTGTGTGTGTGTGTGTGTGTGTAGCCCTGGCTGTCCTGGAACTTGCTCTGTAGACTAGATTGACCACCTGGGATTAAAGGTGTGAGCCACCAGTCAAACTCTCGAAGATAGAATTTCTTGAGGAAAAAAATGATAATCTCTGTATGTAGAGCAAATGTTAATGACATAAAGTAGAGATGATTTTAAAAATTACTACCTCTTAAATTCAGAGTCTAAAGGGCAAACCTTTAAATTAAATACTTGAATAATTTTGTGTCTGCTGCCTTACTAAGTTGGACTAGTATTATAGTTGGACATGGATTATATAGTTAATATTTGTACATGAAAGATAAATCAGACTTACCTCAATTGATGCTGAATGGCTTATTAAGATTTTCACTAAGAAATATTTCTAAGATAGCCTTGAACAGCAGAATACACTTCCTTCTGTCTCTGCACTCCAGTTCAGATTCACTATACTACATGTTTAGTCTGCTTACTCCTCAGCCTGTTCGTTTTCTACTAAGAAGATGTACTTTAGTCTTTAAAATTGGAAGAATGGGTTAACCTTCCCCACTTATAATCTGGGACATTTAATTAACAGTCAAATGCAACAGTGGAAACATATAAGCAGTACAAGCAGTCGACAGGGAAGCTCTGGTAAACCACACAGAACATCACCGAGGCACAGACAGACTACAGCAGACAGTGAATACTGACAACAGAACTATGCTGCCCTGTTTTGTTCCTGACACAGGGTCGCCATGAGCCTGTAGGAGCACTAGAGACCATGCTAGAGCATGTCTGAGAGCATGCACACTGTCCCAATCAGACACATACCAGCCCGCATCTGTATGACAGGTAGCTTTCTACTCCTTATCCAACCAATGGGAACATGACCAGTAAATATCAAGAGTGACAGAGGCCAGCTTTTAGAGATTAGTCATAGCATACACAGCCCAAAATTTTGGTTTTATTTTCCAGTCTAAAATTTTTACAGGTTCACTGCACAGATGGCTGATAAAATAAATATAATTAGCCAAATGGATAAAGAAAATAGAAAAGGCTCTTGGATGGTCAGTCAAAAATAGTTAAATGAAGACCAAAATAGTAAAGTCATGTCTGAGAGCTACAAAACTAAGCATAAGTTTAAAAAACATGTAGAAATTACCTTGTAGTTAGAAGACAGTAAATATTCAATAATGACACTAGAAAAAGATACTCAAACTCATTGGTTTGTTAAATAAGGATTGGTAGGCCAATAATTCTTTTTAACTTAGGTATTCCACAACATTTCAAGGAACCTTGTGGAAAAATACATCTTACCTCATTTTAGCGTGAAACAGTGACTTGTGAAATTAAAAATTTGAATTTGAAAATATCTTGTAAGAATTAAGAAAAATATGAAAATTGGCTCATAAATATATTTAAAATTTTTATTTTAAAAAGGAGATAGTTTTATAATCAAACATAACCATTTTCAGTTGTCCATTTAACCGTTATCCCAGATTACTACAGACAGTGTAAGACACTGTCAGGAGGCCCGACAGAGGTCTTCTGCAGCTGGCACAGAGCCATGAATAACAGGCTCTGCCCATTAAGCAGATGGCACAGAAGGCAGTTTCTGCCCACCCAGGAAAGGTCTGATCCAGTGAGAGATAACCACATACTGGGCAGCAGTATCCACAGCTTGCCCGTTGCAGGACAGCTCCTCTGGGAGGATGCCATTCACTGTGGTTTTAATTACATGGACTGCTTTGAAATGGGTAGGCTATTTTATTTTACTGACCACAGCTTAGGAGAAAGCTTTTCAATTTTCTTTTCTGACATGTCTAAACAAGCAGACAAATGAATGGGACTCACAGAAACCACACAGCCCATGTGTCAGGTGTGAAAGTGCTTTTTTTTTTTTTTTTTTTTTTTTACCTGACAAGTCAAAACTGTGAGACATGCTAAGTGGCCGCATTGCTGAAAAAAAGAAAACAAACAATAAAGAGAAAGTAATTCAGCCATTAGGGATACACAGGGAGACAGGACAGGGAGAAGGGTGGGGGGCTCTCACTGGCACTTCTTGGAGCTATGTAGAAGCTAGTGGATACAATTCTGAAATAGAATAAAACCACACAAGAGTCTTAATTCCAGCTTTATGACAATGACAGAACAATAATACAAGGAAAGTATGAAGAAAAAGTTAACATTTTAAAGAATACACTGAAAATGAAAAACAAGGTAAAGAGAAAAAATATGAACCTCATCTCCCAAGAAGTGATAGCATTCCTTTTGTATGCAGTGGTCAGTTTTATTCAAAAGTTATGTTCATCAAATAATGAGTATCCTATAAATAATAATATTTGGTGGTTAGGAACTAAGAGGTTAAGCTTTCCATCCCAATGTGCAAGTTAACACTTTTAGATGTCTCAGGAAAATGGAGAGGGATTTTGTGTTGATGAGGATAATTTTCTAACTGCCATTCAAAAGACCAAAGTACTCAGTTCTACATTCAAATATATTTCAGATTTCCCTTGCTAGATATAGCAAACAAAATAATACATATTCTCAAACCACTCTTCAATCAAGTTTACTAATATTTGTTATTGAGCTATTTTCTGGTACACGAACATAACTTTTGAATAAACTGACCACTATATACAAAAGAATGTTACCAGTTCTTGGCAATGAAGTAAGTTCATATGCCCTCCCCCTTTGTACTCAAGAAGCTAATTGAACCTGGGGCAGACAAGCACTCTACCAACTTAGCTACATTCTTGGCTTCCCTTTTTGTTGTTGTTTGTTTTGGTCTGAGTGAAATCCCTACCCCAGGTTCTCACTTTTCAGCTCCATATACAACAGAAAGGACAACAGTGAAGGACCACAGTAATTAAGAAGTCTGGAAAAGGAAAGTGCCAGTGACACAGATAGAGGCCAGGTACAATAAATAACAGTAACTTCAGATTTGCTAGGGAAAAGAATGAAAATGGCCCATATAACAGTAGGAAGAGTAGGTAAACACATCATTTGGACATTAGTTGGGAGATCATGTCCTAATAAATCATGATTTGATTTATGTTTAACGATGAAAGATGTTCAGGCCGTAATCAATGTTAAACCAAGAGAATAACATATTATTGTTTTGTCATTATTTGTTTTTTTAATTTTATTTTTAATGCACAAAAGTGTTTTGGAGGCTGAAGGACAAGCTTGGATGGTACCATTAGGAAGTCTTTCTACCTCCTGTAAGACAAGTCTTTCAATGGCCCACATGCTGTGGAATAACCCTTCTGTACACTGTAAACACATGCTGCTCTCAATTTAGCTGATTGGCGATGGCTAGGCAGGATTTCTGGGGAAGAGAATTCTGGGGAGATGAAGGGTGGAGTCAGAGGAGCGGCCATGGGACACAGATTGAGCAGGGTGGGAAGAATGTAGATGAGGTAAATGAGCCTCAGGGTAGCACATTAGATTCATAGAAATGGGATAATTTACATTATAAGAGCTAGCTAAAAAAAGACACTTAAGTTATTGGTTGAGCATTTATAGTTAGTACTAAGTCTCTGTGTGGTTATTTGGGGAGCATCTGGAGGGACAGAAAAATCTGTCTACACCTAAACTTTACCAATTAGGCTAGACTGGCTGGCCAGTGAACCTCAGGGATCCCCCTTTTTCATCACAGCTACATAATGAGACCCTGTCTCAGGAAAACAAACAAAACAGTCAGGAGTGATGGCATACGCCTATAATATCTGCACTTAAATCAAGATCATCCTTAGCTACAGAGTATGTCTGAGGAGCACCTCATCTATATGAGACGTTGTCTCAGAAAACAAAACAAACAAAAAGCTCCCAGTAAAAAAAGTCCCTGGCTAGAGTATGTCATCCATGAGTCTACCAAACTTTGAAAGATGAAGAATTTCCAATCTTTTCCAAACTATTCTGACACAGAAGAGAGACGCTCACTGAATCTAAAACACAAAGAAAGAAAACAAGAGTGCAACAAATACTATCAAGCCAGCCCAACAGCACATTAAAAAGGCCATACACCATGACTAAGTGGGGTTTATTTCTGGATACAAGGATGTTGTCCTGGTTAGTTTTTATTACCTTAACACAACCTAGGTCACTGGGGAAAAGAGAACTTAGTTGCAGAACTGTCTCCATCAGACTGATCTGTCAGAGACTGTCTTGAGTGATGACTGACGGGAGGGCTGTCTCTAAGCAGGCTGGTCGATGCTGTGTAAGAAACTAACTGAGCCAGTGAGCAGCCGCAGTCAGCAGCATCCTCCATGGCTTCTGCTTGAGTTCCAGTCCTGACACCCTCAATGATGCACTGGGACCTGGAGGTGTAAGCTGCAATAAATCCTATCCTCCCCAAAATTGCTTTTGTTCAAAGTGTTTATCAAAGCAAGAGAAAAAGCAAACTAGAAGCAATTAATACGAAACATAATTAATGATGGATAGAGGGTAAAAAAAAAAAAAAAGTCATATCAAAAATTTCAGAAAAAGTCGTTTGACAAAAAGTAACACTCTCTCAGGCTAAAAAGTAAAAAAAAAAAAAAAAAAAAAAAAAAAAAGCTGGGAATAACTTTTCGGTAATAAAACCCACATATGAAAATCCCACATTACATTCTCCTAACAGTGGTGACATCAGAAACAAAGCAAACACGGCCTTTCTTGTGTTCATCACAGTAGTAGGAGTCCATCTGTAACTCCACTCCCCTTTCCTGATGTCCTCTTCTAGATGCCACAGGCATCAGGCACACACATGGTGCAAAAACTTACATACAGACAAAACACCAATACACATAAAGGAAAACAGTAATAAAAATCTTTTTAAAAGTGACATTAAATTCAGTCAACTTTCTGGACAGAAAGTCAACGTAAGACAAATGTATTGTGTGTTGATATAACACATATGAAAAGGAACCCAAGAAACAAAACCATTTGTTATACCACTTATAAATAAATAATGAACTATTTATGAACATTAACAATATGAAAAATTATAAGACACAAAGATGGTTTATGTTCACAGATTGGAAAAATTAATAGTTAAAATATCTAGATACTGGCTGCTCAGTGGTGGTGAACCCCTTTGATCCCAGCACTTGGGATGCAGAGGCAGGCAGATCTCTATGAGTTCAAGGCCAGCCTGATCTACAGAGTGAGTTCAAAGACAGCCAAGGCTACACAGAGAAACCCTGTCTCTAAAAACCAATATATATAATTCCATATATCCACTGGTGTAGAGGCACATGCCTTTAATCCCAGCACTTGGGAGGCAGAGACAAGGGTATCTCTCTCTCTCTTTCTAAGTTTAATAACAGCCTGGTCTGCACAATGAATTCCGGGATAGCTAGTGCTACAAGATGACCAAGCCTCAAAAAACAAAACAAACAAAATCCACATACCAAAGTCACCCTTAGATCCAACTCAATCCTAATTTAAAAAAAAAAAAAAATCCATGTTTCTTTTTCTTCTCCTCTCCCTGTGTCCCCTCTCTTTGCCCCTCCTCTCTCTTTTTAAGGCTGCCCACTGTATAGCCCAGGCTGGACTTAAATTCATGATCCTTCTCCTTCTGTTATCCGTGCTAGGATTATATAGATGTGTGTTCACATGAAAATCCTTTTTCTTTTCCTTGTTCTTTCCTGGTCTTTTTTGGAGGCAGGGTTTCACCATGTAGACCAGGCTGGCATCAAACTCATATTACCTCCTCCGCCTCTCCAGGGATAGCATTAAAGGCATGTGCCACCATGCCCAGGGATTGATTTTTGAGCCACATTGGTGCTCAGCAAGCATTCAGCCATGGAGCTATATCCCCACGCCCCCAGAGAATCTTCTTTAAGAATTTTTAAAAAAAGATTTAATTTGTATGTATGAGTGCTTTGCCTGCAAGCAAGTATGTACATCACATACATATATGTATGTGCCCTCAGGGGTCAGGAGCATGGAGTGGGGTGGGGGGGCTGCAGCACATTCCCTAGAACCAGAGTTACAGGCAGTTGTAAGTAGCCATTTGAGTACTGGGATTTAAACCCATGTCCTCTGATGAGCAGCCAGTGCTCTTACCTGCTGGCTGATTCATCTCTCCATCCTCCTATCCCTTCCATAGAACTCTTAATAGTAAGTAGTTCCTCCAGAAATAGGGGGAAACAAAACAAAAACAAACAAATAAACAAAAAAAAACCCAAAAACAAACCCAAAAACCAAAAGCCCTCCTGAAATTATGGCTTGAATGTGAATGTCCCCTGTGGACTCATGTCTAGGGAGTCTGTGGAGCATTCTGGGGGCAGGGACTGACTGACAGTCGGGTCATGAGGGGAGGTCTGGAAAGCACTGCTGGTCTTCACACCCTTGATAGCCTGGCTGCTACAGGACGCTTACAGTGGAGAGGCAGCTAACTTCACGGGGGGTGGGGGGGGTGGGGGGGGGTGGGGGGGGACACCATGACCACACAACGCATTGGGTTAATGTTCAAAATACTAATAAATGCTAATAACTCAATAATAAGATAATAACTGATGACCTTGATTTAAAAACAAGCAAAGAAACTAAACAGACAATCCAACGGTGATACAGAAAATAGTTCACAACGATGTGAAAGAATACTCAAACATCAATCATCAATCACTAGGGAAATGAAAATCAAAACTTCATTGAGAAAGCACTTTAGAAGTCAGGATGGCTATCATCAAATAAAGAAGTTCCTCAAGGCCCCAGTGTTAATAGGTGGGGCAGAGATATAAATCCAGGGCATTTGCCGCGCTGAAGAGAACACAGAATGGTAGGCCACTATGGTGATTCCTTCAAAACAGCTGGAGGCCGGCTCAGAGGGTAAAAGGCTTGCTGCACAAGCATGAGCCCTAGTGGATCCCTGCAACTCACATAAAAGCTGTGACCACAATGGTGGAAGGGGGTGGAGACAGATGGATTGCAGGGGATTGCTGGGCCAGCTAGCTTAACTGCAACAGTATACTCCAAGTACAGTGAAAAACTGTCTCAAAACATATGGCAGAAGATGGCAGCAGACCTCCTCATGCTGACCTCCAGTCTCTGTATGTGCATACACAGAAGCACCACCCCACCCCCACACTCCCACCCATCCCCACACTCCATTAGAAGGATTCTGAAAGAAATAAGACAATACTATGTATCTATCATCTACAGTTGTACATATGCTAGTTTATAAAGTTCTTCTTTCCTCTTTTTAGCACAATCTTATTTTATTTTTATAGCACTCAGAAAGGAGAGGCAGATGGATCTCTGGGAGTTTGAGGTCAGCCTGGTCTACAAAGGGAGTGCCAGGACAGTCACTGCAGTCACTGTAACATAGAGAAACCCAGTCTGTCTCAGAAAAACCAAAACCAAAACCAAAACCAAAACCAAAAAAAAAAAAAAAAAAAAAAAAACCTCCAACAAAACAAAAAACTAAACAAACAAAATGAATGAATGAATGAATAAATAAATAAATAAACAAATAGAAGCAAGATCTTTTCTCCCCCTTTCTGCTGTGCCAGGTAGTCAGCCTTAGAAAAGGAAAGAGTGTCTCTTCAAAGCTCAGCACAGAGTTGGCAGGCCATTACACCGCAATGTTCTCAGTAGTTCAATACCAGAGGACTGTCACGTCACATGAATTCAAGTGTCAACAAATGTGAGGGTATGTGCAAGTGAGCAATAGCTATGAGGGGAGGGGAGAGAGCAGAGGAAGACAGGGAGAGAAGAGTTGTCTAGAGACAAGGACTGAGAATTCTGTGGGTTACTTCTATGTGTGTAAGTATAAACACAGCTTCCTGGCCGTGACTCACCTAGTCTGCTCCGTCTAATTTCTTCCGGTGAGACAGGTCGCAGCTTTCTCTCTGCTTTAATCTCTTCTAATATTCTTTCATGGAGGCTCCGTGGTCGTGGAGGGGTCGGTTTCAATTTTCTGGCTGAGGCCTTGAAAAGGAAGCTCAATGGTTAGAGACGGTTAGCTGTGATTTTATTTGTTTTTTTTTTGTTGTTGTTTGTTTTATTTTGTTTTTTATGTATATACACATGCCAGATCTCATTACAGATGGTCGTGAGCCACCATATGATTGCTGGGAATTGAACTCAGGACCTCTGGAAGAGCAGGTAGTACTGTGAGCCATCTCTCCAGCCCCGATTCTTAACATAGTCATTCCTACAATACAGAATTTTGAACTGACTGTAATGTTGCCCAGTAAAAGACTATTCAAGTCATTAATATCAAGATTTCTAATTTTAATGTATACGTATGTGTGTGTATAATTAATTTTGTGTGCTTGTACATGTATAGAGGTCAGACAACAATTCAAGGGAGTGAGTTTAGACCTTCCACTTTGTGAAGTCCTCGGCAAAGACCCCTGATCATCCGGCTTGGTGGCAGGCACTTTTACCAACTGAGCTATCTCAAGCCCCACTGTCAAGACTTTTAACGCAGTAGGAGATTACTGTGTCTCCCCATGATAGGCTCACATGTGCACAGGTAAACTGAAGTAATCAGTTCTGCTAAAGATATAGTCTTGTCCCCTGTATGCCACTGTTTTGCAAACTAACTTTATTGCTGTCACTTTGGGACTCAGTTTTATTCTGTAATCCATACTGGTCTCAAGCGCCCCTTGAGTGTTGAGATTACAGGGCAAACCGTCATACCTGTCCAAAAGCAACATTTGTAATTTACCACTTTGGATTATTATTGTCTTTAGTCTATTATAAGGACAGTGAGGCTGAGAGAGGCAGGTCAACTTGCTAGACTGTGGCGCTAGTGTGAACTGTCAGGTTTACCTGACCCCTCTCTCTGCACCAACACTTCCCCCTTCTTTCAGAAAGATGTAAAGGGCTAATTGATTATGCCATAGTCTACAAACTGGGATGACACCACTTTGCCCTCGCTATTACTTTATACATAGGCTTGACATGGTTTGGTGGGAGCTGGCTACTAAGCCAGGAGGAAAAGAAGTAAGGAGAAACACAAATGGCATTTGGAACAGTATTCTGAGTCTATGGTCATTAGAAAAAACCCTGCTAACAGACTGTTAACATAAAAGTGAGTGCACATTTACTGTAAAATAGTGTCAGTATGACAGTATTAAGCAGCGTAGTAGCATGATTTGAGTTGGAAAGGCAGCTCATGCCAGAAACAGTCTTCAGCTGTTACAGCAGCTATTCAGCCAGATTGTGCACTATGACTCAGAGTGTTGTGATGAAAACATACTGAATAACTGTTGTGAATAAGTGAAGGTATGTCTCTATGCTGTCCAGTGTAATTTACAGGTGGGTTTCATATTCTCAAGGGAGAGCTTGGTAGAGAGCTACAGATCCCTCCCTGGGGAGAGTGTGTTAAGTTACATACTGGATTTAAAGGGGGTCTTGATCTGATGAAGTCAAGGATGATCTCATGAGCACTCTTTCTTAACCGAGGGGGAATGTCACCATTTACCTAAAAGGATACACACACACACAAAAAAACAAAAACAAAACAGATCACGTGAATCAAGGAATCATCACTGTATATTCAGTACCTGAGATCCTGACTTCCCCGATGGCACAGGTGTGACTGTCTTTCTTTTGGGGTAGGTTTTTAGATGAGGTCTTATGTGCCCCAGATTGGTGACCCTGAACTTCCAGAAACTTCTTGTCTCTACATCCAAAGTGCTGGGCTCACAGGTATGTGACATCACACATGGCTTTGTTTTCCAGTCGTAAACAAAACAGGCTGAACTACCACCTCATTCCTGGTCCTTCCCCTGTGACTACTACACTGGGATCCACCTAACACCACCTGCTTCTACCATGTGCCCTATACCTAGGTCCCATAGCAAGCATCAGCATCAATCTCTGTAAAGCTCAGCCCAGCATGTACGTGTCAGTGCCAAGCTTAAGAAGGCAGCTGTAGGGCCTAGCAGCAGAACCAGAGGCCTGATGGAGCATGGCCCTTACTTATGGGTTTCTTGATGTCTAAGATTTTTTAAATGCATGGATATTATACAACTTAATCAGACATTCCTATACTTAGAATTTTACTTCTAAACAGACTAATATATCCTTCTAAATAATTTTCATATGCTTTTAATATTCTTTCCATCAGAACAAGAAGGTGAGAAAACAGAAAAAGTTAAGTCATCTTGCAAGTTTCAGCATCCACACAAACACATCACTTGGGTGTTTTATTTAGAGACAAGGTCTTATGTGATATGTAGCTAAGAATGACATCAAATCCTAGCCCTTCTGTCTCCACCTGAGTGCTCACCATCACTTTTCTCAGGGTGTATCTTCTGCACCGAATGTCGTCCATGAGCATCTCATATGGTGTGAGCTGGTATTCAATAGGCAACGGGTTGTACTGCCGCTGCTGCACCTTCTTAAGTTTTACCCCGTTTCGCAAATCCCTCATCACCTGTACCCAGAATCGTGCCTGGAAGAACGAAGGATGGATAGTAATCAATAAGTAAATCCACTAGTTTTCTCTAAATGGTTACAGTCATAGAGAATAAAGGAAAGGCATGGACATAAAACACCATGAAAAAACATTACATTTTAGGATATCACTGGATGGGTAGGAAATCAGTAGGCTGCATTTCAAGACATACCCTGTGGTAGTTTGAATGTAATTGGCCTCCACAATCTCACAGGGAGTGGCACCATTAGGAGGTGTGGCTTTGCTGTAGTGAGTATGACCTTGCTGGAGGAAGTGTGCCACTGTGGGGACAGGCTTTGAGATCTTTTGCTCAAGCTTCAATCAGTGTAACTTCAACTTCCTGTTGCCTGCAAGATGCAGGACTCTCAGCTCTTCCTCCAGCACATCTGCCTGATGACAGTGGACTGAATCTCTGAAACTGTAAGCGAGCAACCCCAATTAAATGTTTTCCTTTATAAGAGTTGCTGTGATTAGGACTGGAAGATGGCTCAGCTGTTAAGAGCACATAATTGCTCTTCCAGAGGTCCTGAGTTCCATTCCCAACAACCACAAGGTGGTTCACAACCATATGTAATGAGGTCTGGTGCCCTATGCTGGTGCCCAAGCATAACATTCAAATAAATAAATAAAAATCTTTTAAAAAATAGTTGTCATGGTCATGGTGTCTCTTCACAGCAATAAAAACCCTAAGATAGTCGTCAACACTACTGCTTACTGAAAAGCATGTATTCCCCACCTCGACTTGGGGTCTGGCCATATGACTGTATGACTGTGTTGTGGTCGGAGCACAACATCACTACACCTACAGCCAGTGGACACATGAACTTCCTATTAGCATCTGACACCAGCAGCCACTTTACCTTCCTCAGTTAGTCTCATCAGTGAGAAATAAATAAGAATGAAAAATTCATGTCTTGTGTTTTATAAATAAAATGTTCAAAATCACAATCTCATATTATCTAGTACACACCCTACAATCAATTTTGTTATCTACAAATAAGTTGTTCTGTCCACCTTCAAGAGTTCTAATAAAATGAGATTTACATCAAAATGCTTAGTATAACACATACTAAAATGTGAATCATTCCTTAACCCCTTTGTTTCCCGGTCTTATCTAGCATTGTCTACTTCAGTGAAAACTCAACCAATACAGTATTTAATTAAAATGTAACTTATCAAAATTAATGTGGCTTCAATAGCTACCTAAAATATTTATTTTTAGATCATAAGAATTTTCTATACTCAGCTCACTGACAGAGGAGGTAGTTTGTATGTATGAGTTTCTAGGGTCTAACTGCAGTACCAAAACATTTTCTCTATATAAAATAAATGATTGCATTTCTCAAAACGATTTTCATTTACAATATATTAATCCAGTTTTTTCACTGTCATCTGAGGATAGAACTGAGATCATCAGGCAGGCGTCAAGTACCTTCACCTACTGAGCCTTGCTGGCCTGCCTTTACTCACCAATTTCCCACCTTTGCCTCCTTTCATACTCATCTTTCTAGATAAGTCACCTGAGTGGTGTTGTGAGAAGAGGTGGTGACTTACAAAAGAAACCACCCTTGAAGTTCTGGTCAGTGATTGCTGTAGTTTGGGTTACTGTTTTAATTATTTTTCAAAACAAGTGATTTATTACTATTACTATTAGGTGTGATGTGTGTGCATATGTGGGTGTGCACCCCCATGGAGCATATGCAGTCAGGAGACAACTCTGTAAAGTCAGTTCTCTCCTTCTACCTTTTTCTCTTTAATTAAAAAGAATTTACATTTATTTATATACTTTGTGTGTGCGCGCACGCGTGTGTATGTGTATGTGTGTGTGAGAGAGAGAGAGCATCTGTGTGCCATGCCATGCTTGTGGAGGTCAGATGACAACTTCTAGGAGTCAGTTCTCTCCTTCCACTGTGTGGGTTCTGTGGATCAAACAGGCTTGAAGGCAAGTCTTTTATCCACTGAGCCACAACACCTGCCCCACACTGGTTTTTGTTTACTTTTGAGTCAGGCTCTCACTATGTAGACTTGGTTGGTCTGAAACTTGCTATGTAGACCAAGCTATCCTTGAACTCACGTGAGTGTGGGGATTAAAGGTGTGTGCCACCACATCCAGCTGTTGCTAGTCCACACACACACACACACACACACACACACACACACACACACACACACAGTCCCCCTCCTCTCCTCACCCCACACCATTATCACACACCAGGTAGGATCAAGTAGCCAAGATGGTCTACAATTTGCTAAGTAGTCTAGGATGACTTTGACTTCTCTGGAGCTCTGCCTCTATTTCCCAAGTACTGTGATTACAGGAGTGTACTACCATGCCTTCTTGTTTGCTAACTTTAGAATATTTGGAGTTACTTGTCTGACTTCAGTGACTGGGGAAGACTGACAAAAATAGTCTCTTAAAAATGCTTTTTATGCTGGGCAGTGGTGTTGAACACCTTTAATTCCAGCACTTGGGAGGCAGAGGCAGGAGGATCTCGGTGAGTCTGAGGTCATCCTGGTCTACACAGAAAAACCCTGTCTTGAAAAAACAAACAAACAAAAACAAACAAACAAACCCTTGTTAAAAGCAAACATCTATCACTAGCAACCCTGCCACAGAATTCTATACAAAGGAGTGATCAATATTAATCTAAAATGACAAACAGAGTAGCTTTTTTTAAAGACAGGGTTTCTCTACATAGCCCTGGCTATCTAGGAACTAACTTCGTAGACCAGGCTGGCCTTGGACCCACAGAGCTCCACCTGCATTTGCTCCTCAGTGCTGCGAATGCCATCATGCTTGGCAAAAGCAGCTTTTAAGACGCTGTGTAGGGTAGAGAAAGGGCACAGCAGTTAGAAGTGCTCAAGTGCCCACTGTTCAGGGTTTGAGTCCCAGCACCTATGTCAGCTGGCTCACAACTGTTGGAAACTCTGGGAGGTCCCGGGGAGTTGTCACTTGTCCTCCGTAGGTACTTGCACTTACTTACATGCACACATATTTGCATAAGAAAAGTATTCTAAAGGTTAAGAAAAGAACATTTTAAAAAAGACAATGCATGAAACACTCATTTTTAATGTTACTATAAATGTCCCAGATTAATACTATTATTCTTAATATCTATGAAGAGGCATCCCTTATAAACTATGAGTATTATCAACAAAATGACCCAAGCCGGGGATGAGGACTCACACTTTTAATCCCAGCACTTGGGAGGCAGAGGCAGGTAGATCACTCTGAGTTCAGGACAGCCAGGGCTACACTGAGAAACTGTCTCAAAAAAAAAAAAAAAAAAAACCAAAAAAACCCCACATACAACAACAAGATAAGAGCGTCCCAAGTGACCATCCACAAATGAATAATAAACTGACTTCTACGTAAAGTGGAATAGCATTTAGTAATAAATGGAAGTGGAATAGTGATACAGGCAGTGGCCTCATGAAGTCTCAAAACAAGTATTGTGCCTAGTGAAAGAAGTCCAGTACCACCGTCTTACCTAGAATTCTATAGGATGCAAATGGAGAGATCAGGAAGTAAAAGGACTCAGCAGGAGACAGGAGGCAGAGTAACAAAGGGGCATGAGGAAATTCCAGAGGGAACCACAGGATTATTATTTTGAATATGGTAATAGCTTCATGGAAATACTCATCAGTGTGTCAAAACTTACCACACTTTACATTTTAAACACATATATCTTATTATGTGTATTGTATCTCAATAAAGATATTAAGAAAAAAAATGGCAAACAAAAATTAATATGATCAAGGGAATTCACTCATAGTTCTCAAATCTGCATTTATTTTTAAAGAGTCTTTTACTTAATATCACTGCTATCCTTTAAAAAAGGTTTTAGTGTGTGTGTGTGTGTGTGTGTGTGTGTGTGTGTGTGTGTGTGTGTGTGTGTGTGAACCTGAGAGTTTATGTGCACTGTGTGGGTAGGAACCCTCAGAAGCCACAGAACTGGAGTTGGTTGTGAGCCTCCCTGCTGTGCTGGGAACTGAACCTGTGTCCTCTGCAAAAGCTCTAAGTAAGTGATTTCAACAGATGACCCATCTCTCCAGCCCCTGATCCACTATCTTTAATCTCGTAAGTCAGAATCCTGACATGTGCCTGCCTCCCTTGATACCTGGGGATGCTTTACTTAGCACTTTGCCCAAGACAGCCATATCTGAAAGCAGGATGCTCAGTGTCTACAGGATGTATGTAGTAAGGTGCCTGAAAAGGAATGGATACTCAGGTTTGTCTTATGAAAACCCCATAATCACCTGTTTTAGAAAATATCTCCTCTAGTCTAGACTGCTATGGAAATCAGAGACTCCATATCCCTCATTTTGCATCCATGGGTTTCTAACCCTGTAAATGTTCATTGGATAAAAAAATATACCACACTGCTAGTCTCACATAGCATCCTGACACAGAGCTTTTGTTTTGAGTAATGAGTATTACTTAAGGTATTTATAATTATAAATGTTAATAACAGTATTTCCAATGTGGGCAGCTCTTTCAAAATAAGAAAAACTTTTATAATGAAGATATTTACTCACTTGTAAAGTCAAGCATTCAAATTTATGCACCAATTCATACTTCAGTCTTTAAAACCAGCATTTAAAAAAAAAAAATCACACTATTTTTAAAAGCTAAACTGATCAGAAAGCATACCCAGTTTCCTTACCCAGTCAGCATTTTTCAGGTCCTCCAGATCTGTGCTAGATTCATCAGTCTTTTCCATTTCTTGAATCTTCTTAAGATTCTACCGGTTAAGATAAAATTTTAAAAAATTATGGAAAATTACATTTAGCTACTTTCTTATAAGCAAGTTATAACTCCAAAAAGTTATCTTTAGAGAAAATGTAGACAGAAGTATCAGTGAAGATGATAGTTCATTAAAGTTAATGGGTAATTACTTATTTTTTTAAAATTTTTATCTCTTTTTAAACTTCACTCTCTTTTCTTGACCACTGAAACCTCTTACTGAAAACAGCCCTACATTTGACATGGGCTAGGAAAGCAGTCTCCGGCCTGGCCATTCCATACTGCCTCTCTTCCACTGCCCACTCTTTTTCTGCAGGCTGAAACCACTAGTTCCTCAGACAGGCCTTCCTTTCTTCCCTTTTAATACAAAACCTCTTTACATCTATGGGCTCTTAGCATCATGTTAGGTTCACACTTGTCCATGGCTCCCCTCTGGTCTTCCTGAGGCAGAAGTCCACTCACAGATCTAGTACGGAGCTTTGGAATTTTTGGATGCTTGGTATGCATTTGTGATGGCTAATCTTGATTGCCAACTTGGTAGGATTTAGAATCACCATGGAAACGAATCTCTGGGCCTGTCTGAGAGTGGTTTTTAAAGATTGGGTTAACTGAGGTGGAAAGACCCACTTTCAATGTGGATGATACCATTCTATGCTGAAGTCCCAGGCTGAATAAAAGGGAGAAGAGCATGATCCCTGCCACTCTGCTTCCTGGGGATGAAATGTAAACAGCTCTGCCTCCTGCTCCTGTTGCCATGCCTCCCAGCCACGAGGAACTATACACCCTTAAATGCTGAGTAGAAACAAAGCCTCCTTGTTTGGGTTGTTTTTGTCAGGTATTTCACTCAGCAACAAAAAAAGCAACTAATACAATATTTATCGAATAATTTCTTTATAAACTTCAATTGATAAAATGCCTTTTAAAAGCAACAACCCAACATTGGCAACATGTAAGAAAATACTGATTAATAAAACATATGGGACAGTGAGACGGCTTGATAGATAAAAGGCATCTGTCACCAAGCCCAATGACCTGAGTTAGATTTCTAGGACCCACATGATGGAAATAGAAAACTCACTTTGGCAAGCTGTCCTCAGACCTCCACACATACGAATGTGCATGCATGTGTGCATGCATGTATGGGTACGCAGGTGTGCACACACACAAATAAATGTAATAAAAATTTTGAAAAGCATATTTATAAATTAATTATAAAGGAACTGTATTCCATGCCTACTAATAACAATTCAACCTTAATATATGTTACCTTTGACTGAATTATTTGCCTGCTTGCTCACAGACTGGATCTAAATGTACTATATAAAATCTAGCTTGTTTTATATGACATTGTAAACAAAACATTTCCAAACTTTATTTTCAGCTTCCTAACATCTCGTATTTCTTCTATCCCTAGGGGAAAACAGAAGGGAAGAAAAACAAAACAAAACATTTCTTGTTATTTCAGAATTTATTTACACAATTAATTTTCTTTAAAAGTCAAGAATCCTTTTGAGATGCTGAATTAAGATATGTGCCATTCTTCAAGTTTGTGGTTTTGTCAAAGTTACCCAATCTGGGTCTTCTGTTTACCTAAAAAATAAAAGTATGACTACCTACCCCTCTACTCTAAGTAAGTACAAAAGGAACTGATACATTGAATACTGACACACTGCTTGGCACAGAGAGGAGACCCAGCATAATTCCCTGTATCTCCTAAGTATAATAAACCATAATTCATCATACCACAGGACATATCAAAACTTAAAATATACTCAATTTTTGCATCTTGTAGCCTCTTCAGAAAAGCTATTTCACAGGCCTGTAGATGATTTTTTTCTGTCCTATCTCAGCTCTAGTCCCTTATACTTGTCTGAAGCCTGGCACTTTCCTAATGTGTTTGCCTAGAGTAGGGTCCTGGAGCAATAATCATGGCAGCTAGTAAATGAGAAGCAGTAAGTAATAAAACAACCAAAAATCTATCCTAATCCACTTTACAGAGGAACTGGGGCTTGTAAGGGCTAAAACCCTTGTCTGTGGCCTTGCTGCAATGAGTGGAGTAGTCCTGAAACAAAGGAACACAGCCTAGTCTCTCAAATATGCAGGTGATGTTTGCAAGGGTGCCAAGAAGAGTGGTCAGCTGTTGTCAACAAACCTACCCCACCCCACACTGGCTGAGACAATCCTCATCAAACAGCTGCATCAAGTTCTACTTATTTTGTTAAGAGGAACCTTCACAAATACTTAAGAATTCTAGTAACACAAGGAAAAAGGATAACATTTATGATTACTAACTGGTCTTTGCAAAAAGTGGCATGACCTCACATCAAAATCTGAACAGAATCATCATTACTAAATCAGGATTCTTTAACAGTCTATCATGGTAAACAGTAACCCTGATACTCAAAATCCCTGCTTCCCCCACCCACCCAATAGAAATTAGGAATAAAAACAAACAAACAAGCAAAACTTCTGATGATTCAAACTATAGTCTGAAATGCACAATCTCCATGAAGTGTCAAAATCACAACTGAACTGAGTGGGGAGGAGCCCACACACTGGCAGAAGCCCATCATCTGGTTTCCCAGATGTCATTGAAGTTCCATCAAGATGGATTAATGCCTGAGAGCATATGCTATTCTATTGATTGAAAGAGTCTTTTGGGTTCTTAAATTACAAGAGTAGAAGAAAATCAATCCAGGAGAACTGTTTCTGGACTGCCTGGGACCACACCTTACAGACTAAGAGTCTAGGGAAACAGCATTGTCCAGCCCACTGAATGGGAAGGAGCCGATTTCCTGCTGTTCCAGGCTATGCCAGCCTTTCCGCCCTGCCAAGGTCCCTCTGTGTCCAGTGCTCGCCTCAGATAGCCACCAAGCAAAGCCTCCCTATGCTTCAGATTCTTTCTCAATGACCCATCCCCATCCCTGGTCTCTAGCACTCAGCCTAGTCTACACTGTTTCCAAAGAACATCCTGACCTTAAAAATCTATATGGGATACTGGTTTGTGTACTTTCTATCTACCTCCTATAATAAGGGTAGCCATTTTTAAAGTTTACTTTGTTCAATGGTAGGATTCTCAAATATACAGACTAGTGCTTTGTAAGAGGTTGGCACTTAGCATTTGTTCAATAAATAAAGACACTTTAAAGCAAGAATTGATATTAAGCAGGGCGGAGGTGGCACATGCCTTTCATGCCTTTAACCCCAGCACTCAGGAGGCAGAGGCTGGCGGATCTTTGTGAGTTCAAGACCAGCTTGGTCTACAAGAGCTAGTTCTAGGACAGCCTCCAAAGCCACACACACACAAAAAATACACAAACACACACACACACACACACACACACACAAAATGTGAGATCCTATTATTAGTGCTTACATATAGCTCTTTAATAAATCAACTTTAATTGGAGCAAATTCAATCTTAGAGAAAATTATTATTCAGAAGAAATCTCTGGCCTTTAAATTCAAAATCCTATGGTAGAGATATATGTGTCTGTTCGGGAAAATACTTAATTTGAGCTCATACTATGTATCAGTGTTATATTCAGCCAAATAGATAATTAATAAATAACAAAAAAAGAAAATAATTTCTAAGACCCATAGTGGTTTCAAGTAATTATGTCAGCAGCACATGAGGCCAGCTCAAGGGCAAACTTGCATGTGAACACACCTTCACAGTATCTTTTCCTTTTGTTCAGCTGAAGACTCTTTGGAAAAAGTTAACTGTGCCCATAAGAATTCATGCTTGCCATCTTTCTGTAAGCTAAACACACCCAGAAGTGTTCTTGTCTACCACTTACTTCAACATGGTGTGTATGTGCCTTAGGACTCTAAGCTGAACAGGTCCCCAGATGCATCCACCCTCTTCCCTTCCTAAACTGAACATGCTCACTAGTGTACTTCTTATGCAGTATGCTCAGGACTATGTCCACCCCCCAAGTGATTTTGTACCGAAGTATGTACAGGCTTCCTGAATAAAATCCTCATGCTTCCTTTGTCCAAAAGGCACTCACTGCTTTTGGAACAACTACAATGCTCTCCTGGCTGGCTGTAGGTAATAAACCTTCCTCTATTCTTTGACCTTCATGGTGTTGTGTATATTGCCTTTGCAGGCACCAAGAAAAGAACCCATTGTTTGGTTAAATTTCCATACTAATCAGGTCAGTAAGATTCAACTAGCATCAAAATGGACTGGCTTGACATTTTAGTGCTTGAGAAAAATCATCAGGTATTAGTGGTTTAGTGGTTCTAATCAATACCCCTTTCCCTACACACAATTGTCTGGCTATCCTGTTCTTTCTTCTTGTCATTTAAAGGCTCATCCCACAGCAAGCACCACAGTTTGTTTAATAACCATCAACCAAAAGGTAACAAATCCAGGAGGGGGAGCAGAGCAGGCTGGATTACACAGATGAAGCAGAGGCCTAGCAGCTGAAAGTCAGGGTTTAATATGCTCACATGACTCCAGAAATACCATCTTCTTCTATGACTTTCAGTCACAAGGAGGAATGGCATGAGAAGCAGTAATTAGATATATTCACTCTAAACTCTGTTGCTGCAAATCCTGCCACAGCTCATCATCCATTCTCTCTTTTATTATTCTCTTACACATTTCTGACTAATGTAGGTCTTTATACTCTTTGCCTTTACTTCATTGGGATCAAATTCCTACCTCCCAACTACTAAGACAAACAACTTGCTCTTTATAATAGTAAAGGCATTTTAAATGAATAGTTATGAACATCTTGTCTAACTTTTCTACATAGCTGCACACATGGTTATCTTAGATTTTAGCAGGGAGGTGATGGCACATGCCTTTAATCCCAGTATTCTGGACACAGAGGCAAGGCAGATCTCTGTAAATTCAAGGCCACCCTAGTCTACAGTGCAAGTTTCACAACAGCCAGAAGGCTACACAGAGAAACCCTATTTCTAAAAAAACAAACAAACAAACAAACAAAAAAACCCCAAAACAACCCTCCAAAAGAAACAAAAAAG